GCAGTGCAGGAAGGCACTGTTGGTGTAGATGGTGTCACTGAATAAGACCTAATTTCTGAGCTGCAGCTTGGGACAGCTGGAGGCTGACCAGCTGACTTGGGGTGGTAAGTATCTGCAGACATCTCAGTAACATGCTGTCATTCAGTTGTCTGCAAAGAGTTCTTCTGTAAAGGGAGGGGGAAGGAGGAAACTGCCCAGGCCATTTGGTCACTTGTTAAACACTCTTGTGCGCTGGTCCCTGGAGGGGCATGAATGGAGGGTAGGCAACCCTGAGGCTGTCTCTAACCTTCAGAACTAGTGCGATAATAAATTGATGCTACCTATCATTTATTGAGCCAGGCTCTTTAGCACTCTAGACATGTTAATCCATTCAATCTTCACAAACACCTGATGAAGTGGGCACCAAGGTGATCCATGATGAGAAAACAGGGGCAGGGGGAAGATTAGCACCTTGCCCAAGGTCATGTGATTGGTAAGAGCAGAGCTATATTTGATCCAGGCATTCTGACCCTAGAACCCACACACTTAACCTCTATGTGGATGTGAGGCTGGAAGCTTCCTGGGACGGCCTGGTTAGAACATGAACAGAAAGGTAGAATGTGGCCGGTGCTTCTCAGATGAAGCAATGATTCCTATTATCTAGGAATAGATAATAAACAGAGAAACAAGTGCTTTTATGCTGTGCGGTGGGTGAGGCGTCATTTCTCAGAGACCTTCATGTTTTGGTCACTAGAATCATGGTTGGTGGCCCAGGAGGACTGAACCCCGAGGCAGAAATATCCCCATTGATAGGGAAGATTGGACATATGGTCAGACACCCTGTTGACTTGGGGAGCTCAGTTTCAGAAAGTTGCCAAGATCATCTGAGGGCTGGGAAAAGGTTCAGAGCCTGGAATTGAAATCAGGTTCTTTCAATAGGAAGACTATGGGTGGTACTGAAGGATGTCTGTGTGACTCAGAGGGTTGTCTTGCTGAGCTCAGACTGAAAGAACCAAGGAAGACAAGAAGAGTCCCTTCTCAGGACACACACAATAGAGCGACAAGGATGAGTAAATAGTGTCAGGGGGTGAGAGCCCAGAATGAACTGAGGCTACTGAGGGGAGTGGAGGACAGCAAAGGTCTTTTAATACTGGATGGGAGCAAAAGAACAAGGGCTGCATAGATCCACTCGCTGCCAGAACCGCTGGTGTCTGTGGAGGGAGAAAGAGGAGGGAGCAGCTCTGCTTTGCCCAGCAATTGTCTGGACAGAGAACCAGCCTCCAGTTGCAAAGGGCGTTGGTAGGTCCACATAGGAAAGGGAGACAGAGGCAGCCCTGAGCAACTGTGCATGTGGTCTCCTGACCCAGAACTCACTGTCCAGGGCCAGGAGTGACGCACACATCTGCAGAGGTCACCTGAGAGGAGTTGAGGACCATGGCAGAGGTGCATGTAGCCTGGAGCTGGATGAGGCTCAAAGTCTGATGTTGACCCTGGGAGAGAGCCTGCGATCTCTCGACAAGAGGAGATGAGCATTAGAGCTGGCAGGGCGGGGCTTCCCTGGTGATGCAGTGGTTGAGAGTCCGCCTGCTGATGCAGGGGACGCGGGTTCGTGCCCCGGTCCGGGAGGATCCCACATGCCGTAGAGCCGCTTGGCCCGTGAGCCACGGCCGCTGAGCCTGCGCGTCCGGAGCATGTGTTCCTCAACGGGAGAGGCCACGGCAGTGAGAGGCCCGTGCGCCGCAAAAAAAAAAAAAAAAAAAAAAAAAAAAAAAGAGCTGGCAGGCCTCCCCAGGAACAAGCCACGGCAGTCTCATATCATCTTCCATCCGAGAGACTTCCATCTGGTGACGGTCGCAGATGGAGTGGACTGAGGTTAGATGGGGCCCCAGATGGAGTTTGGTAGGACATTCTTTGCATTTGCCTGAGTGGATCTTACCCAGCAGTGCCGGTGCATGTGAGAGTGGTGGCCCTCAGGGAGCGTGGGCAGCATGCTGCGGTCCCCTGGCAGGTCAGTACCTTGGTCTCATCCTTTTCTTCCTCCTCCTCCTTGTTCTCCTTATCATTATTAAGATTTGGATGATAGCATTGACAGAAGCGATTTTGGGTGGATTCAGCAGTTGGCCAGATCTGCAATAAGCTGGAGCAGCACAGAGTTTAGCACTATGGCACTTGCAGGTTGGAGATGAACGCATTTGGGTTGAGACCTGCAAATTTCCTCCCGTGGTTGTTGTGAAAACTCCATGAAATAAGGTGTGTTAAGCTCTTGGCATCTCTGGCATGTAGACGCTTACATAGTCAATAAGTAGTGAGTTGCATATTTATATCATGAAGCATCCTGTTAGCAAACATTCCATCCTGAAGTAAGACCACATGTTCCAAGTTTTCCCCCTGAGAAGGTTGTCCCATCTGTGGCTCAGGGCACTCTGGACGGTTCTGTCAATGGGGTCTACGTGGCTGTGGCTGGACAAGGTTGCCTAAGCTGTGAGGGTAGTGCAGCGGGGCTGTGTGCAGAGGGCTGCAGGGGTGCAGCCGGACCAGGGTCAGCAGGGCAGCCTCCTGCCCAGGCGTGGGATACATCAGGTGGTTCTAAACCGTCATCTGGAGAACAGTGAGAGACAGAGAGTGAGAGAGCGAGAGAAAGGGGGAGTTTGTGTGACGTTGTATGTGCATTTGAGTGTGTGATAGTATGTGTATGTATTTGAGTGTATGTGAATGTATGTATGTGAGTGTATGTGTATATGAGTGTGTGTATATGAGATTGTGAGTGTGTATGTGTTGTGAAAGTGTGTGTGAGGGTATGAGTGTGCCTGTGTGTGTGTGTGTCTTTGTGAGCTCCGCATTAGGGCTTCAAGCAGACCAGTTATTCTTTGACAAAGGGTGAGAAGTGGCTTCATCCCAGTTGGAGTCATACACTGGTAGATCTGGAAAGGACTGTGGAGATCATTAAGCCCAATCTCAGGTGATGGGAATTCGAGGCTGAGAGAGGTGGGAAGGACATCTCAGGGTCAGCTGGTGGAGTGATGTGACTGCCTCTTCCTCTTCAAGGAACATTGGTGGGCACTAATCTCTGATGTCAGTGGCATCCCCTTTGAGGACTCAGTTTGGAAAGGATGCTAGGAGAGGCGCGGCTCTCCCTGGTGGCCAGTCTTGTAAGTCCTTTCAGGTTGACAAAGCTCGAGACCAGGCTCACACAGGAATGGGTTGAAAGGTAGGTCTGGCATGTGTTTCCTCAGGAGCTGTTTAAAGCTCAGAGGTTAGACAAAGAATTTGACTTTTTGATGGGGTAAAAGCTTGGGAGAAGTTGGACAGGAGGCAGGAAAAGGAGACCTAAACCCTCAACATGCCCTCATTTGGTGTTTGGGTCACATGGTTGACTTGGTGTTTACCTCTGGGGGCTCTGGGAGGGCGACATGGCCAGTGCAACCAAAGCAGGCTTGGCGACACACACTTGGTTTCAATCCCAGCTGCGCCTCATCCTTGCAGGGGACGTGGGGCAGGATGCTTAGTATTGCAGGACTTGGGTCCCCTTCATCTGTGAAAGAGGGTGATGACCCTCCAGGTGTGCTGAAGATGGAAGGAGGTGACATATGCAAAACATGTGTCACAGACTCCTGTTGCCACGATAGTGAGAAGGAGGGCAGGCACCTGTGCTTCCTTTTACAGGTGGGACAGGAGGCAGGGCAAGAGGAAGGAGCTAATATGAACTCAAGTGATGTTCCTGTGAGGAAGGAGTGGAGCTGTCCCCTCCTCACGGTCCTCCTGGGCTCAGGAGACATATTTGTTAATGATGACAACTCGGAACACTCAGCTGAGTGTGGTCCAGCAAACCTCTCACAAGCTGAGCGGGTGCTTGAAGATGGGTTTGCAAAGCCTCAAGAACTTGCTGGTGGAGCAGATCAGGGAAGGGCAGGGATGAATGCCTTCCCAGAAGGGCTGATGGCTCCCTTTCCTCCTGGGTGCCACCCTCACTTATGGCCATTGTGTGTCTCCCCTGAAGCTGTGAGCACCTCGAGGGCAAAGTGATGCCCAGCAGGTTGGCACAACTGGCACATTTGACAGTTGACGGGTGAGCAGAGGAGAAGCAAGTGTATGAATGTGTGAAGAGCAATTGTGGTCACTTCAGGAGAGTGGAGAGGGAGACCCACACTTGGTGCAGGGGCAGGGCCTGGTGGAGAGATGGGTGCCCCCAGGTGTGGGAGCAGGGAACAGGAACAGCTCCAGACCCAACCCGCCATGTCTGGATGTTACTGTCCAGCTTTTACCCTCTGGTCACCTGTGCTGCAGCAGCTTCTGTCTCCAAGTGCTTGTACTGTCTTGGCATTTCTGATGATTTGTGAGGAAAGCTGGCATGCAGAGCAGCAAGGAAAATAATCTGCTGTCAGTCAGGGTGCAAGCATATTAGAGTTGTCAACCAAGTCAAAACTGACTGGTGGAAGCCTTTTGTCGCTGTTAAAAGATAGCAGCTGCTGCCTGGAGGTTGACAGATTGGGGGCAGTACTGAGCCTGGCCTCTGGGTGGCCTCCATCCTCCCGATGGAGTCCTGGAGGTGAAAGCATTGTGCTCTGAGTCAGGGTGAGTTGCTGCATCTGTAGTAGTCAGGGTTCTTTGGATGCAAAGGACAAAAACTCTCTTGCCAAGTTAGCCAAGAAGATTAATTAGAAGGGCTGCTTGTCTAATATCACACAGCTGAGGACTGGCCGAGCCTGGACTCACAGGGACACTTGTCTGCCCCGAGTTCATGCTCCTGTCAGCACTTGCCCTGAGACACCAAGGTCCCAGGTGAGAGAAGGCTTTCTATAAGTTCCTACACCCTGCATGCTCCTGTACGTCCCTGAGTGGAGAGCACACTTCTCACTGCCTTTTGCTTCCTCTCTCTGCAGAGCCCTGTGGTCCAAGTGTGCTGACCCAAGCACCAGAGGAGCCCTTCAATCTCACGGCCCCTCCCTGGGCCCAGAAGCCTCAGAGACTGACAGCTGTTGGAGCATCCACCTTGCTCAGCTGGCGCAGGCCCTGAGGTCCCCATGGCTGCCGGGAAGGGAGCTCTGCGGAGCCCTTCAGCTGAAAACAGATGGCGGCTTAGTGAACCCGAGCAGGGCTGGGGCCGCAAGCCAGTGCTGCTGGAGAAAACAAACTGCCTGGGCTCTGAGCCTGCCCCGGGCAGCGGTGGCCGGGATGAGGCCTGTGCCGAGATGGTGCTGTCAGCAGCCCCGGGCAAGCTCAGGCTGGGAAAGCTGATGCCCCGGAAGGCTTGCTGGGAACAGGGGCAGAGCGCCTTCATGGAGGTGCCTCGGCTCAAGAAGAGGCTTGGGGGCAGGCAGGCCCAGGAGAGGGTGCACAGTGGCCCTGCAGGCCAGCCGGGCCCCCAGCAGCTGACCCTGGACAACCCCAGGGACCCGGCTAGCATCACCTGCTTCTCAGTGTGGCCCAGTGGGGCCTCCGGGGAGCAGAGAAGTGCCTTCAGCAAGCCAACCAGGAGTCCAGCAGGAGACCGGGGCCAGCCTCCGTCTTCCAGGCAGGCGGACCGGTAGACACCCTGGGGGAGCTGCTGGGACTCATCAACACAGTAAATGTCAGTTGCTGGGGTCGACTTTCCAACTCCAAGCTTTTGGTGGGTGATTTCTGGAACCTGCAAATGGTGCCCCCAAATGCTCCTCTCTGCGGCACTTTCCTGGGTGACCGCATGCTGTGGCTCAAGCGTGCCACGGCCCAGATGCCCACACCTCCGTCGTGCTCCTCCACCGCCTCTTGGGCCCTGCTGCCCCCCACGCTCACCTCCCTGGGCCTGTCCACCCAGAACTGGTGCGCCAAGTGCAACCTCTCCTTCCGCCTGACCTCCGACCTGGTCTTCCACATGCGGTCCCACCACAAAAAGGAGCACGTGGGGCCCGACCTGCATTCTAAGAGGCTGAGAGAAGAGGCCCTCACGTGCCCCGTTTGCCACGAGTACTTCCGCGAGCGCCACCATCTCTCCCGGCACATGACTTCTCACAGTTAACAGGTGGTTTGGAACAAGGGCGTCCAGCACGCGGTCGTGGGGCTGAGATGGCTCACGGGGCCTTCCTCTGAAAAGACTGGTCACGGTTGTCCTCAGGGCCGTCTCCTTGGGCGTTTGAGGACGAACAGCTCAGTCATAATTGGAAAAAGTCAACCTGCCCCCAGGACGTGCTTAAAGGAAGCAAGGTCATGAAATGATGCGCTTTGCTAATGGCAGGGTATGGTGACGCATAGGCATCAAGTGTTTCTGACATTTTCAAGAGTGAGGGCTCTGCTCCCGTCGCCGTAACTCTTGCTCCATGTGGAAGCAAGTCTGGCACCCAGCACGGGCTTTGGAGGCAGACAGACCTGGATTGGGATCTTGGCCCTTTCACATACTGGCCCTGAGCCTGGGCAAATTGCTCAGCTATCTAAGTCCCGGCGCACTTCTCTGCGAAATGGACATGGTGACACCTGTGTCTGAGGGATGTTGTCAGGATTGTATGGGAAAACGTGTGGGAAATGGCCAGCATGTGCCCGGCAGTGTCATCACAGAGTAAACAGTACTATTAGCATGATCCAGATTAGTCAACTATTGTTAAGTGACAAAGTTTCAGTGGCAAACAATGCAGAGCCCCTGTTTCTCAGTCATGGGCCTGTGGGTTGGCTGGGGTTGAGCTGGGCTTGGCTCCAAGGTTGCTTTCTCTCTCAGGACTGTTGGGCTGCCCAGTCATGCTTCTCTCATGGTTACGCCAAGAGCACAGCAGGACAAGCCCAAATACCCAAGCACAACTCAAGCCTCTGCTTGGCTTGCTTCCACTAATGTCCCCTTGGCCAATACAAGTAGATGGCCAAACTCAAAGTTAAGGGGTGAGGTGTGCATATGGCCAACGGGGAAGTCATGAGTGAGTGTATAATCCTACAGGGGCTGGCGGAATTGGGACCGATAATTCAACCAACACCTGGTCCCTGGTTCTTCACATTCTGAATACGTGGAAATGGGAAAATGAAACAACGCATACATGCACACATACACGCACACACACCCCTTAACTCTCAGGAAGTGAGCGTGCACAAAACCTTAAGGCTTGAGACGTTGTGAAGACTGGGAGAGTTCTGGGTACTGTTTGTTATCTGATGCTTGTTGAGTTTCAGTACCTATGCTGTTTATCCACATTTGTCCTTATTCCTAACAATGCAAACCTCAGGTCATACACTCTGCTGTAACACAAGCCAGTCTGTGTGAAAGCCCCTTGTTGGAATTTCTTTCAAGTCACTGCAGTTCTTTTGAGTGGTTTCCACCTCACTTTCAAGATTTGTTCATTTGGCCTGCAGTTTCCAACCCCTCCTCTGGGGCCTTGGTCACAGAGCTCAGGCTTGTGGGTGGGAAGGAGCTGGTGGGGGTCTCAGCCAGCAGCGAGCCAGCCATCCAAACACCCGCAGACTCCGCATCCCCTCTCCATCTCCACGGCAGGCTCCCACCTTGCCCAAGGCAGCTGCATGTCCCCCCTGGCCCAGCCCACACCTGTCCCTCTCTCTCCCACTCCCCCCACCTCCCACCTATTTTCCACAGCCAGAGGTATATTCATTCATTTCTTGGCCTCCCTGGGCACCTGTGCTGTGCCAGATTGTGTGCCAGGCCCTGCTGGGGGCACAGTGAGTTCGACCCACTGTGTGAGTCGAACATAGTCCTTGTTCAGGGTGTGAGATGATTAGGGTGCAGTGCGACAGATGCAGAACAGAGGCCTGTGCCGGGGTGCTGGGCACGTCGGGGGGGCATGCCCAAGTCAGACCTGTGGGTGGGGGACGAGGGTACCCCTGGAGGCCTCGTGAGGGGTGGGGATGTGAGCTGAGCCTCAGAGTTCGGCAGGAGCTGGTTATTCAGACAGGGAGGGCAGTGCTGGGGAGAAGGTGGTCCTGAGCTGTAGTGTCTGAGGCTGCTCCAAGGCCCAGGTGGGGCGGACTTAGTGGGGAGGTGGGCCTCTGAGATGGAGACATAGGAAGGCGTCGAAGGAAAGGGGTTCGGACCAGGGCCCTGGAGGGCCGGCTCCAAGAAACCCTTCCAGGGGGCCTCTGGCTGCAGCAGGAAAAGTGGGCTGGAGGAGAGGAGATGGACCCCCTGAGCCGTTTCCTCCGCATCTGGAAGGAAGCAGCAGTGCTCCACAGAGGCAACAAGGAAGCACCCCCGTTTCTACAGGGAGGCTTGGAGGCCCCACCCTCCCTGAAGGAGGTCAGGAGCCCTGCAGGCCGGGCCCCTTTGGGAGCTGCGTGGGGCTACAGTTTGCCCACCGGGAGGCTGTGCCCAGAAGGGGGCTGAAGCTTTGGGGAGCCTCCCTCTCCTGCCGTCCCATGTGGGGCAGGAGAGGGCACCTCATGGGGTTGGAATCTGAGACTCCACACCATGCAATGATGTACGTTATGTCATTTAATCCACATGATATGCCCAGGAGGTAGATACTTTTAAAAATTAATTAATTAATTAATTGATTGATTTTAAAATTTTGGCTGTGTTGGGTCTTCATTGTGCACGGGCTTTCTCTAGTTGCGGTGAGCGGGGGCTACTCTTTGTTGCAGTGCGCGGGCTTCTCACTGCAGTGGCTTCTCGTTGTGGAGCACGGGCTCTAGGTGCACGGGCTTCAGTAGTTGTGGCATGTGGGCTCAGTAGTTGCAGCACGTGGGCTCTAGAGCACAGGCTCAGTAGTTGTGGCACACGGGCTTAGTTGCTCCGTGGCAGGTGGGATCTTCCCAGACCAGGGCTCGAACCCGTGTCCCCTGCATTGGCAGGCAGACTCCCAACCACTGCGCCACCAGAGAAGTCCCACAGGAGGTAGATACTTAATTCCCATTTTACTACGGAAGAAACTGAACTCCAAGAGGTCAGCTGACTTTCCTAAGACCATGGGTTCTGGAGAAGCCGTACAAGAACAAGACCCCAGGACTGCCCCACTTGTGCTCATATCCTTCCCCGCTTGCCATGCGTCTGCTCAGCCCAGCCAGGTTGTGTGGCATTGTGGACGATGAAAAAACTGGGACTTAAGGCAGGCATTGACTCCCTGTCTACAATTTCAACTTGCACCCTTCCTCCCATCCCCAACATTTTCTCTTGCTCTTCTCTTGAGCACTTTTCACCCTTTTGCTTTTACTCTTTTTACTGATTTGTCTTGTTTCTTGTGTTTTCCATCACTAGAATGTAAGTTCCATAAGGGATTTTTGCTGTTTTGTTCGCTGCTGTATCCCCAGCAGCTAGAACAATGTAGGCAAATAGCAGGCATTCGACAGACCTTTGTGGGAGGAATGAACGAGACGCCTGGTTCTGGCCTCATTCCTGACAAACCAGCTTCGCCCAAGGGTTTCGACATCTGTTAAAATGGATGCACAGCTGCTCTCCTCTGACTTGTTGGATTGCTCTATAATTTCTTTGAAATCAGTTTGACAGGCATAAGTGCACTACACTAAAACCATAGAAATTTAGAATGGAAAGGGATTCTACATTTCTAGTCCATCCCCTGACTTTATAGCAGTGAGCACTGAGGTCCATGATGAGCTGACGTGCAAAGCGATGCAAGGCAAGAGGTGGTGAGGTCAAGGCTAGGACCCCTGAGATGTCCACACTGGTGTGTCTTCCCTGGCCCACCCACACTTCTCTGGGAACCTCGGCTATGGCTGCAAAAACAGAATGATTACTAATAGTGACCACGTCATTCATAAGCAAGAGAGACATTTTGAAAAAAAATTAAAGTTAATTAATTTTATGAAGAAGCACAAGAAAACAGCTCCCAAGTCAACTTTTTAAGGTGGAGTTCATTTTGGTAAAAATTGATGTAGACGCAAGTTGCTTTGTAGCCATTCAAATTGACAGACGCCAAGATGACTTATGGAGGTGATGACTTACAGTTTATTAATGTGGCAGTTCCTACTCGTCACCTGGCCGTGTTCCCAAAGTCCCCCTGGCAGTTGAAGCCTGTCTCGTCCCTTTTCTCTCCTACTCTCCTATATCGACTTGAGATCAGTCACTTTTAATCATGACTTTGCCCATGCTCTCTCTGCCACCTTCCATCCCAGTTAAGAGTTGGCAGATGATGTTGCCACAGAACATCACATCAGCAGGTATGAATTTTACTCGACAATTCTGGGGTAAGAATCATCACATTCCTTAAATTCTCTATATCTAATTTAATCTGTTCTCTACCATAATCCTATTCTGTTAGGACAGGCAGTCTGTCTTTTTAAAATCCCTCCCCTGTCTCTCCAGTTTACAGAACATTCCCCAGCACCTCCCACCTAAGAATACCCTCTCTTAGCATCAAGCAGTGTCCCCGTGCCCTGTTGGTGTCTTTGCCTCTATCCTCCAACGTGCTCTGGATCTTCTCCCAGGATCTCAGCCCTGGTGGTTTTCTGGCAATACCATCATTAGTTAGGTAACACAGGAGCCACTGAGCCAATAAACAGAAAGTCTTGGCTTGCTTTTTGGACAATGGAAGAGAAAATACCTATAGTGGCTGGAAAAATAGCAAATTATATCTCAATATATGACCTCAAACAGCAGCCATTCCATTAAGATTTCTAAAAGTCCCCCAAATGTGCTCATGGGCTAAAATGAGACATTCTGAATTCAGATCCATTTTAGTTCTCAACTTTAACCAAGATTTGCTTTTCTTTCTGCTTTTATCTGGAAGAGAAGTAAAACCTCAACAAGGCCAGGGTCCTAGGTCCATATCTACTTCTGGCCAATTCCTGAATCTTAGACTGCAGATTCTACTCAAAAGACTATATAATTATGTTAATGAAAGTGTGTGTAGCCCACTGGGCTTGGGGAGAGCGGAGGGAAGGGGAGGTGAGGGTCACCCTGACACCTGGAGCTCATGTGTCCTAGGTGAAGGCTCCTTAGTGCCAGGCCAAGTGCAGCTCTCAAGAGAGGCCAGAAATCAGGACCGTATGTGGAATTGTCTCTCTAAAAAACTGATGGCCAAAATGGCATGGACTTAAGGAAGCACCTTAGTGGTGGTGGCGTGGGGAGGGGCA